AACTGGTAGGTCATGTACTGCTGACCGCGCAGCAGTGTCTGCCTGTTCATTGTCCTGTACATCAGCATGACCAGGGGCCCAACAAAAAACAATATCTTTATGCTTGGTAGAGATGCGGCATAGCCAAAGTTGGATACGGAGAACTAAGGGGTGAGGTGTATCAAATTTTCATATAGCCTGTAGAGCACTAAGGGAGTCTGAGACAACCACAAATGGTGACACAGGCATAGATGCAATACGGATAAGTGCTGCAAGAATGGCATACAATTCAGCAGTAAAAATGTTAGCCGAAGATAGTAAATGCCCTCGCACGATGCTCTCCGGAAACACTGCTGTGAATCCGATGCCGTCAGAAGACTTAGAGCCATCTCATTCTCATGCCATCTGCGATGGCATGAGAATGAGAGTGGAAATGGTCAAGAAAAAGAAAGCGGGAAGCTACCATAGGCAGTTGGGCTTTCGAGCAAGGGAGTGAGAAAGAACAGACTCGAACAGCTGGAACTTCCCAGGGATGGTAGGGAAACGTGAGATGCTACATGAAGAGACGAGCGAATGTAGGCGAAGAGAGAAGGGACGGAGCAAACAGGGGCGGTGAACAAATAAAGAATGTCTACTAATATCGGTGACCATTCTATAACTGGAAGGATTGAGGAGATCATGGGAGTGTACATAGTAACGAAGGCAATGGGCATCACAGCGATTGGACAAGGATGGAACATTCACTTCTGCATAGAGGCTCTCAACAGGGGAAGAGCGAAAAGCACCAAGGCATAAACGTAATCCTTGGTGATGGATGGGGTTAAGGCTAGAGAGAGTAGCAGGAGAGGCCGCTGAATAGATCTGGTCACCATAATCGAGTTTCGACAAAATGAGGGCTGATTGTAGGCAAAGGAGAGTTCGACGATCAGCTCCCCATGAAAGATGAGCAAGGGTTTTAAGAAGGTTTAGCCGGCTGTGACAAGTTGCCTTCAGAGAGGTAATGTGAGGTTTCTGGGATAACCTACGGTCAAAGAGAAGGCCTAGAAACCTGACTGTATCATGTTCAGGGATACGGGAGCCATAGAGGTACAAAGGATGATCGGAGATGACAGAGCGTCTAGTGAAAGTAATATGGTGAGTTTTGGTACTGGAAAATTTAAACTCATGTGTGGTGGCCCAATTGGAAACACGGTCGACCGCATGCTGGAGAGAAACTGTAATGAGGTGACAGTCAGCGCCTGCACAAGCAATAGCGAAGTCATCAGCATAGAGGGATGACCAAATATTGGATGGAAGACTAGAGGTCAAATCATTTATAACAAGGAGAAAAAGTGTTGTACTCAGAACACATCCCTGGGGGATACCTTCAGCTTGGAGAAAGTCTGGGAAGAGCACATTATTAACCCGAACACGGAAATGTCTGTCAGTTAAAAATTTCTTAAGGAAGGATGGTAGATTGCCTCGGAGGCCTAAGGAGTGGGCTTGGGCCAAAATATTATACCTCCAAGTTGTGTCATATGCCTTCTCAAGGTCAAAAAATATGGCAGTAACTGAGTGGTTATTCGCAAAGGCATTACGAACATACGTAGAACGGCCCTTATGAAAGCTATATTGACTAGTGGAGAGACTGTTGTGTGTCTCTAAATACCACATTAAACGTCGATTTACCAGACGTTCTATCACTTTGCAAACTGCACTGGTAAAGCAATGGGACGATAGTGGGAGGCATCATGTCCCGTAGTACTCGGTTTGTGGAAAGGGAGAACAATGGCAGATTTCCACAGCTGGGGAAGAACTCCTTGTGACCAAATAAGATTGAAGAGGTGTAAAAGGACTGTAAGGGCTGACTGATGTAAATGTTGTAACATCCGAATATGAATGTCATCAGGCCCAGCTGCCGATGATCGGCAAGCTGAGAGTGTTGCCTCCAGTTCCTGAAGTGTAAAAGGCACATTATACTGTTCTTCTCTGAGAGAAGAAAAGTCCAAGGGTGCTAACTCTCTGGCAGACTTCGAGGAAAGAAACGAGGGGCATAGATGGAGCCCCTGAGAAATACAGACCAGATGATTGCCAATTTCATTGGCAACATCTAGTGGGTTTGCTAGGCACAGAGACTGGAAAGGTAAACACGGAAGTGGAAGAAGGGAAGGAGGGAGCAAAGAAGATTTGAGCAATGGGGATTTTTTGGACTTCTGAGAAGTAGAGGGGCGATTGGTAGAAGGTGTCTTACGAGGTCTTGTCGATACTGGGGCTAGTGAGGGAGAACGCGAAGATGTGAGAACAGACTGAGGTGTTGTAGTAGGGACGTCTGAGCCCAGGACAGCAAAAGAATTAGATACAGGAGTGACTATGGGAGGGGTAACCACAGAGGAGGCTGCAGAAGATTGGACCCCAGAAGTAGGGGGACATTTTGAAACACGAGAATAAGAAACACGGGGCAGTCTCCCTTGGAGGTGGAGATGAGAAACTGCCATAGCATAAGGGAGACCTTCTGCCTCTTTGAGACAACGGATTTCACGCTCATTTAAGTATACCTGGCAACGGCAAGAGTACGAAGGGTGAGCCTCATGACAATTAAGGCAAGAGGAAGGTTGACTGCAAGATGTATTAGAATGGTCATCGGCACCACAGACTGGGCATTCTGGTATAGATCTGCAATATTTCGATGGGTGACCAAATCGCCAGCAATTTCTACACTGTGTAGGGATCACCTTTTGAACTTGGGATGGGAGTTCATGGCTGTCAAAAGTTAATCGAGCCACATTGCAAGGGTATCGTCTCCGCCCGCAGGCAGGAAGGGCATAACTGTCTACCTTGAGGATTGGGAGATCCTGGAGTTCCAGCTGTTTGAGAATGTCATTGCCACATGTCTGAAATTTCTGTTGGACTATGGTATGAGGTAGAATGACAGTACCACTACAAGAATTGAGGGAATGATGTTTTTCGATAGTGACAGGAATAGTATCGATATGTGAAAGAAGAGAAAGATCATGAGCTTGGGTAGCATTCTGGACAGTGATGATGCACGTACCACTCTTAAGAGCATGAAAGGAAATATCTCTACCAACATGGCATAGGAGCGCCTTGCCAATACTATGGTTGGAAAGATAAGCAATAGAGGAAGTCGGCCGTAATGTAAAGAATTTAGTCCGTTGTGCAGTCCGAAACTGAGCATGGAAAGGGAGTGCATGACTTGCTGATCTTTTCTGAGAAGAACGAGAAGGTGGTGAAGTATCATCATCAGGCAATTGTCGTTGGCGTTTAGGAGTGGGACCAGAGTTGGTTCAACATGGAACGGGCTGGCGATTCAAAAATTGCCACACCGTAGAGGGAGAGGCCGGAAGCATAGTCAAAGGAGAGCAGAGGTCAGACAAATCGAAGGAGTCAGTCGAAAGCTCGGTACCTGAAGCGGGTGAGGAAACAACACCAGCAAGAGGTACAAGGGCAGCAGGAGTGTCCGAAGAGTGGTCAAAAAACAAGGCAGGGTCAGAATGAGGTGCGGTATCAAGAAGGGGCCCGGGGGTAGTAGGTTCACAGAGTGGGATCTCCATGATTAGGTTACTCCTTTTCTTTTTGTTTTTAAGAAAAAAAAGAAAGAAGAAAAGAAATGAAAAGGAATGAAAAGGCCGGAAATCGCCCTCCGCACCCAAGAGGACCTCAACACGGCAAGTAGTGCAGATGCGGCATGGAACTCTTACCATACCCTACCCTTCATGCCAGTAAACCAGCAATCCAGGATAGCAACCTCACATCTGCCGAGCTACCTCGGTTAACAAAAGAGAGGGTGGCCGAATATCCACCACAAAGCATACCTCCTTTGGCCACCGCCCCCGGAATCTGAAAGGCGGCCTCCAGAGATACACCCGTCGCCCGAAAGACACCCAAAGCCACCCCCCGGGAGACCGGAGAGGGAACGGGATATCCCCAGGCGATCCAGATTCCAAGGCAAACTACACCACCGCCAAGAACCTCAATTGAATGGGATTGACCCCGGTACCCTTCTCCCTACCTATGAACCAGTAGGCCTGTGGGAAGAATCCCAAAGGCCAAAAAGAGGAAGGGAATAAGGGAGGGACGTGGGGAGGGGGAGGAGGAGGAAAGGAAAAAGGGAGGATGGGATAGGAAAGGGGGAATTGGGGGGTAATTAGGTTCGGTCTGAGGAAGGAGACCAACAGGTCTAATTCGTCAGACCAAGAGCCTCTTCACCACTCCAAGGAGCCCCTTTGAAGAGGTCCCCTTTCTAGGAACATCCCCCCCTTCCCCAACGAGCCTAACTCCACCCCTTTCTAAAAACAAGTTTTTTTCCTTTGAGTGCTATCTTCGTATTATAGACATGTATATTATCCCCGTAGTGTACATACACCACAGTATTTTGGAGTCATTTACCTTCAGTACTAATGAACATTTTTTTAAGAAAAAAGTATATCTTTCAGGGTCAAATTTTTTATTCTTGCTCCCCGAGGCGCCCTCCTCCTCCTCACCCCCCCGGTTTCCCCTTCCATCTGCTCCCCCTTTCCCTCCGCCCCTTCTCCCACTTCTCATTCCTCCAGTCATGGAGTGGTTGGTTTACACCGGTTGTCCAAGACTAAAAAAAAGTGAAGAATTCAGTCATACTGACTGAGGCCTGTGTGCCAAGTATACTGAGTCAAGGTGATGAGGAAGACTGGTGTTGAAGAGGAAGACTAAGGTAAACAATAGTGTTGAGGAAGATTGAGGTAAGCAATAGAGTGCTGGAGAAGATTAAGGCAAGGTAGAAGTAGTTCTGTGTTAGGTAGATGTAGTTATGTGTTAGATAGATGTAGTAATGTGTTAAGGTAGACGTAATTTAGTAAGTAAGGTAGACGCAGTTATGTGTTAAGGTAGACGTAGTTATTTGTTAAGTAAGGTAGACGTAATTACAGTAATGTCATAATTATTATGGATTTTTTTTTTAAAATTCGATATTTTTCTACTAAAAGGTCAATTAAACCAGTTTCACTGACTGCTAGTGTATTTATTTTTAAACACAAGTACAGGTCAACTATTTTACATTGATTAATATTTGGTTTGACCAGCCCTAGCATGCATAAGTGTTCTGTGAGTTGCTCTTGGGTCGTAATGGGATCTTCGTGTATTTCATCCTTCAATACAGACCATATACTCTCAATAGGGTTTATTTCGGAGGAATATCCAGCCAATAGGAGCAGCTCAACGCCATTTTGTGCATACCATGTCTTTACTGATTTTGCCGTGTAACATGGGGCTGAGTCTTGTTGGAATGTCCAACATCCATCACCATGCCAACCTCGCCTCGCATAGGCCAGTAGGCCTGTTGCACTGTTCCTTCTTTCTTATGTTCTTTTGTTCTTATGTTCTTATCTGAGGCAGTAATTGGCGTTGTAGTACTTTTATATACTTAACCTGGTTCATAGTACCCTCAAAAATGTGCAAACGAAACTTGTTCCATGAACGGAAATGGCTCTCCACACCATGATTTTCTGAGGAAATGTGACTGTCTTCTTCAGACATTCAGGCATAAATTCCTCACTTAACCACCTTCTTACAGTCAGCACACGGTCATCCATCACTCGAATGATTGATTCATCAGAGAACACCACCTGCAACAATAAAAGAGACAATAGAAGCTGAATGGTAATCTTAACCTGCAACAAAAGAAGAGACAATAGAAGCTGAATGGTAATCTTAACCTGCAACAAAAGAAGAGACAATAGAAGCTGAATGGTAATCCTATTTTTTCCAAATAGAATTATCATTTTATTAAATGACAATGACCTGAATAGCTAAATGTAATTCTTACCTGATCCCATTGTTCAGAAGTCCACTCAATGTGATTCTTAGCCCAGGATAAACGTTCCCGTATCATGGAACGATATCCTTTCAATCCGTTTTCCAAAAGCCTCTCATAACTGTCAGAGGAAATCTGCAAGGTGATTTTCTGTTAAGAACCATTCGTATTATTTTTCTGTCTAGGTGTTGTTTTTCGTTTTCTACCCCTCAAGGAAGGTTCCTTGATGTTGGTGAGGGGCTCTTGATTTAGGGAATTGGATTTGTGCTCCAGTTCCCCGAATTAAACCTGAATGCCTTCCACATCCCCCCCCCCAGGCGCTGTATAATCCTCTGGGTTTAGCGTTTCCCCCTTGATTATAATAATTTCGTTTTCTACCACATCTTCCCACCCCTGTTTGAGTTTAAATTTTGATTGTGATTCAATTTCTTCTTAATTTTATTATCTGTTTGAGTTTAAAAAAAAGTTTTATTGCTATTTCTTTCTTTTTCAGTGTATTGTCACTCAATAAAACGCTTATCTGTCCCACTGTGTGAGGTCTCAAATCACTATTTTTGCCATTTCTGTTAACCTTTTTTTCTAACCATTAAACTGAAAGAAAAAACAAAAGTTACTTTTGGTAGTAAGCATTGATACAGAAAATACACACTAATGGAATTATCACAGTCAATATGAAGCAGAAATCAATATTTGCGCACCAAACCAGGACATCAAGTATTATGTTAAATCTTGATGGTTGGCATGAGGCCCACATGTTACAGCAGTTACGTATACTAGGGCTGGTCAAATTAAATATCGATTGATTAATGTAAAATAGTTGACCTCTCTTGGTGTATCAAAATAAATCCATTAGCCGTCAGAGAAATTGGTTTAATTGACCTTTTAGTAGAAAAATATAGAATTTAAAAAAAATACATAAGAATTATGGCAGTAATGAATATGTTAGGTAAGGTAAACGTAGTTATGTGTTAGGTAAGGTAGACGTAATGTGTTAGGTAAGGTAGACGTAGTTATGTGTTAGGTAAGGTAGACGTAGTTATGTGCTAGGTAAGGTAGACGTAGTTATGTGTTAGGTAAGGTAGACGTATTTATGTGTTAGGTAAGGTAGACGTAGTTATGTGTTAGGTAAGGTAGACGTAGTTATGTGTTAGGTAAGGTAGACGTAGTTATGTGTTAGGTAAGGTAGACGTAGTTATGTGTTAGGTAAGGTAGACGTAGTTATGTGTTAGGTAAGGTAGACGTAGTTATGTGTTAGGTAAGGTAGACGTAGTTGTGTGTTAGGTAAGGTAGACGTAGTTATGTGTTAGGTAAGGTAGACGTAGTTATGTGTTAGGTAAGGTAGACGTAGTTATGTGTTCGGTAATGCTTGAGAAAGTTATGTGTTAGGTACGGTAGATGTAGTTTGGCGGTGAGTGGGCGTTGGAGGCGCCAGTAGCTTGATTGCTAACGCACTCAGCTCACACATTGACGTCTGTGGTTCGAGCCACGATACGGGTGGAAACAGGACTATTTTCCTTAAGACACGTGTCCATGTTCACCTAGCAGTAAAATAGGTACCTGGATGTTAGGCGACTGGTGTGGGTCGCATCCTGGGACAAAATTGACCTAATTTATCCGAAATGCTCTGCACAACATGGGTCTTTCTATATAATAGTATGTCATTGATGTCATCTAGGACTGTATACCTTGTACATGTACTCGTAGAAATAATAATAATAATAATAATTATTATTATTATAGGCTCCCTCGTGGGTGGGTGTGAGTGTAGGGGTATGTGTATGGGTGGGTATAGGTGTATGTGTAGTGTGTTGATGTACGTTGGGGTGTATGTGAGGGTGTGGGTGGTAAGTTGCCTGAGCTTCATTAATAGTAGTAGTCGTTAAGACAAGATAAGATTTGTTCGGATTTTTACCTCGTAAACTTCGCTACCCAGGATAACCCAAGAAAGTCGGTCCGTCATCGAGGACTATCTGTCGTATTTCCATTGTGGTCTTCAATCTTGTCTTCCAGAATGCAACCCACAACAGTCAACTAACGCCCAGGTACCTACTTACTGTTAGATGAACAGGGAGAGCAAGTGTAAGGAAACATGCCTAACATTTCCACCCATGTCTGGGACTGAACAACAGACTGTGTGTGAGAATGAGTTGCCTACAGAGCTACGGCGTTGTAGTGGTAATAGTCGTAGTGGTCGTACTTGTTGTAGTAGTATAGTAGTAGTAGCTGTAATATAGCTTTGGACTACAGGACTTATATTATTATTAATAGAACATTTGATTTAAATAGTTATATTTGTTTATCAAGATCATTTGGAATATATTAATTTTTAGCCGCTAGGCTGCCAGGTGTTGTTGCTCCATGTTGTTTACATTTTATAATTACATTTTTTTTTTCGTAGGTAGGGATTGCATCATTACATTATTTTAGGCTAGGCTATTATATAACCATCAGAAGGTTACAAGAGTATATTGGTATTTGTAGAGTAACGTAATTATGAGATTTGATGGGTTTTAAGGGGGGATGTGTTAGACTTGTCTTTATCCATTTTTGAAAATCTTGTCTGTTTTGGATGATTGATTATATACTAATAAGGTTTTATGATATTCATAGTATGGTTCTGAGTAAAATTTAAATGTTTATAAGGTAGGGCTAGATATATTTAGGGTTTTTGTAAAGCATTTTGAGATGAAAATATTTTTCATCATTCTTACATGTTTAAATTATATTTATATATACATGTATAAATATATAAGGTGCTAAAAAATAGCCTTATTATTTTATCAATGGTTAGGGAGCTAGTAATTAGCTGTTTAGTGTTATGATTTGTTGTGTTATTTTGTATAGGGTTAACAGTGTACAGCAGATTACTGGTTGCCCCAGTGAAGCGCTAGCTGTCAGTGGGGGTGGATGTGTTTCCATTTCTTCTGGTTTGGACCAATATTTCGACCTGGGACTGAGTTGGGAGGTTATTTGTGTATCCTAGAGGATGGTAAAGGACCTCTATTCATCTGGGATAGAGGTGCGTGCATTCCTGAAGTTGATAGGTATGTGCGCTTTCATTGTATTGGTGGAAGGTAGTGGGGGGGGGGGTATTCTTGCCTTGGGTGTCAATAAAATTGTAAATATTGGTAGAGACTATAAGTGGAATAATATGTGAGTCATGTTATTTTGTTTACGTAGTTATATTTTATTGTAGAGGAAGTAACAAGTGAAGGATAGCTTTAGTGGTGACTTAGTGTGTGTTAACTACAGTAAACTAATTTTTATTAGGATGATAACAGCAACTGTAGGCTGTGCATTATCATCCCCCCCCCCTATTGTGGGCATTATGATATAATCATTATTGTGGCATGCAAAGAGTATGTTACAATTAATTCGGTGTATGTCACACTCCCAAATAGGCTGCTTCCCAACCATAGAACCGGGTGGGTGCTAAAGGTTTAACGATCGATAGGGTACCCGTCGTTAAATCAGTACCTTGGATCATTAACCAATCACAGGCAAACCCGCCAAAGCTGAAACAATGTGATTCACCTGCGGGAAGGATTGGCAGACTTGCCTACCTGCTGGTTGAGTACGGTGCTTTGCCATCTGTCACCGTGGTGTACACTTTTTTTTTCTATCTATACATATTGTACATATCTGTATATAGTGGGTGAAGGCAAAATATACATTATAGTCTACTGCTGAGTTTGTGTGCTCCAGTTCCCATTACGACCAGGTCTTACAGGCCATTCATTACCTGTGTTCGTAATAATTGTTAACAGTGATTGCTATATATTAATGATTATTATATGTGATCCTCATGATTATTACAACAGATAACATTTTCATTTCTCATTTCATTCCCCTTTTATGACATTATTGTAAAGCATTCACTCTCTTCATTTCTTCCCCATTCCTGATGTTACTGTGTTCGGCGAATAATCCCTCATCTTACTTGACGATTCCTGTTGATGGAAGACCAAACACCCATGTCCTTGGGCCTGCCACTTCCAGAGAACATATCTATGGATATGCCCATGAAGTCATTGTAAGGGAGATGTTTACTACAAAGTGGGTTTGTTACAGGAGCCTTTGCTTCAATATCTGCCATTTCATCTTCCGGGACACCAGCATGCCCCAGACACCAACAAAACTACAACCTTGTACCGTGCGTTAAGATGAGCTGACATCTCCTGGATCTTTTGGACCACAGGAGAGACAGAAGCATACTGAGCCAGGGCAGATAGAGTACATAGGGAATCTGAGTACACAGATAAGATTTTCTTAGGATTTTTAACCCCGGAGGGTTAGCCTCCCAGGATAAACCCAGGTAAAGTCAGTGCGCCATCGAGGACTGTCTAACTTATTTCCATTGGGGCCCTTAATCTTTTCTCCCAGGATGCGACCCACACCAGTCGACTAACACCCAGGTACCTATTTGCTGCTAGGTGAACAGGACAACAGGTGTAAGGAAACGCGTCGAAATGTTTCCACCCACCGGGAATCGAACCCGGGCCCTCGTGTGTGAAGCGGGAGCTTTAGCTACCAGGCCACCGGGCCACAGTGAACCGAAAACCAGCTAAGCCAGTAATCAGGACAAGGACTGTAAGGACTGCATGGAGATCCGCAGTTTGCACACAGGATGGTAACTTCACAATGAGTCCTCACTGGCAATCACAGCAAACTCATCACCAGTCAGGCTTCAAAAAATTAGACAAGGTCATCACCGGGGCTACATACTGCCTACAAAGACAAACCTCAGGCTTTGTCTAGGAGGGTAGAGAGAAAAGTCAACCTCTCTGATTTCAGACACATCGAGGTCACAATCTAGGAGACGGGCTTACATCCAAACTGAATAGGACGCCACTTACGAAAGACTGCAATATAAACGAACAACTATGAGCATGCCGAACCCGCAGCAGGTAGCGCCGACCTAGTTCCCCATGACGGAGATGCAGGAAAAGCTCACTACACCCAACACAGAGGCTTTCGACAGGGAAAGTACGGAATGCAACTGTGCAAAGACGTATCCCCAGGTGATGAACAGGGGTCAGCAAGAAGTGCTGGAAAGGGGTGGTCAGCGAGTAGATATGACATTCAGTATCCAGCCTGGAACGGCACAAGGCTGCATACAGGTGTAACATTGTGTACTGATCCTCTTCCATATGCCGTGGGAGAGCACTTTAAGAATTTCTAGCGCCCGCAGTGTGTCCACTTTGAGATTCCTTTTATAAGAAAGATCTCAGAAGTGTCACCTTCTCCTAGTGGAAAACCGGTAGCCGTTAAAAGCAGCCCACTCCATGATGTCCACTGTCACTTAAGTCAGTGATAGGTCACTCCAAGAGTAGGCGCCATGCAGTAAGTACACTGCAAGATTATCCACATACAAGGGTAGCCTTGACTCCATTAGGGATAACACTGACCACACCATTCATAACCACATAAAAATACTGTCTTGCAAGACACCCTCTGTCTGACTATTTTGGGTTATCCTAAGAAATTTACACTTATGTTGCTATGTATGATAATTTATGTATCTGTACCTAAATACACTTGCTAACCTCCTTAAACAATCTGTTAATTAGAAACTGTTGGAGACACTTGTACAGTCGCCCTAATAGCACCCGAGTCTGGAGACGACGAGGGCACCAAACCTCCGCTATGTATCATACCGAAGTATAAAGACGTCTGGTAAACTCCTCATGAATGGCACCAGCCAGCCAGCCTTACTATACCTGGAGAGAGTTTCGAGGGTCAACGCCCCCGCGGCCCAGTCTGTGACCAGGCCTCGCGGTGGATCAGGGCCTGATCAACCAGGTTGTTACTGCTGACCGCACGTAAACCGACGTACGAACCACAACCCGGCTGGTCAGGTACTGACTCTAGGTGCCTGTCCAGCGCCTTGAAAACAGTCAGGGGTCTCTTGGTAATCCCCCTTATGTATGCTAGGAGGCAGTTGAGCAGTCTTGGGCCCCTGACACTTCTTGCGTTTTGTCTAAGCGTACTCTTAGCGCCCCTGCTTTTCATTGGGGGGATGTTGCATTGCCCGCCGAGTCTTACTTTCGTAGGGAGTGATTTTCGTGTGCAGATTTGGGACTAGTCCCTCAAGGATTTCCCAAGTGTATGTTATCATGTATCTTTCTCGCCTGCTTTCCAGGGAGTACAAATCGAGGGACTTAACCGTCCCCAGTAATTTAGGTGATTTATCGTACTTATACGTGCCGTGAAAGCTCTCTGTACATTCTCCAGGTTTGCAATTTCGCCTGCCTTGAAAGGGGCAGTTAGTGTACAGCAATGTTCCAGCCTAGAGAGAACAAGCGATTTGAAGAGAATCATCAATGGCTTGGCATCCTTAGTTTTGAAGGCTCTCATTATCTATCCTTTCATTTTCCTAGCGGCTGTGGTAGACATTGTTGCGTTCTTTGAAAGTGAGATCCTCTGATATTGTCACTCCTAGGTCCTTCACATTAGTTTTTCGTAGTATTATGTGGTTGGAATTTGTTTTATACTCCGATTCCTCGAGTTTTAAATATCGAAGTAATCGAAATTTGTCTTCTTTGAACTTCATATTGTTTTCTGCAGCCCATTTAAAGATTTGGTTGATGGCCGTTTGGAGACTTGCGGTGTCTTTGATGGATGACACTCGTGCAGATTTGGGTATCGTCGGCAAAGGAAGACAAGGTGTTGTGGCTTACATCTCTGTCTGTCACTTAGGAAGATGAGGGACAGGATGGGAGCGAGTACTGTGCCTTGTGGAACAGAGCTTTTCACTGTAGTCGCCTCTGATTTTACTCTGCTTACTATTACTCTTTGTGTTCTATTTGTTGGGAGGTTATAGATCCATCTACCAACTTTTCTTGTTATTCCTTTATCACGCATTTTGTGTGCTATTGCAACATGGTCACACTTGTCGAAGGCTTTCGCAAAGTCTGTGCATACTACACTTAGATTTTGCTTATCCTCTAGGGCATCCACGACCTTGTCATAGTGGTCCATTAGTTGGGATAGGCAGGAGCGGCCTGCCTTAAATCCATGTTGCCCTGAATTGTGTAGCTGATTAG